AAGACATGTGCTTCTGCAAAGGATTTAAATCTTCAATGCAGTGTGCAGACCGTAGCTAGAACCTTATACAACACTGGGCTTCGTTCTTGAATTGCTGCCTTGAAACCTTTCTTGTTACCAAGCAATATAAACAGATAGAAAGATTGGTATAATCAACATAAAGATAAGAATACTTATTATTAAAGGCATATCATTTTTTCTAATGAAATAAGTGTAAAAGTAGGTAAACAATCTCACCAAGTTTGAGTATGGCAGTACATAGATGAACAATACAAACATGAGTATTTGCAACCGAATTTTAAAAGTAGGAGGGTCTCAGTAATGGTTTGGTCTTGTTATGTGAATATAATTAAAGAACTTATAGTTTTTTTTGATGATTACAAAGGCTCCAAGGAAAAAATTACTAAAATAATTTATACCAAGATTTTAGATGACCACCTCGTACCATTTATAGCTACTGCTTGTTCGTTACTTGACTCCTATCTGATTTTTTAGCATGATAATACTCCTGTTCACAAGGTGTCGAATTAGTTAAAATCAAAAAAAATAGATTATATGAATTGGCCTTCACAATCCCTTGACCTAAACTCTATTGAAAATATTTGGAGGATCATGAAGGACAATATTCAAAACCATGATAACTTTTCTCATAATAAACTGCATTTAAGGTGGCTCTAATGAAGGCTTTGTCAAATTTGGATACATCAGTTCTTCATGTAGTTTCAGACTCAATGACATGAAGAACTAAGGCTATTGCAGATGCAGATAGTCGTTCATCAAAATATTAAATAAAAAATAAAAAAAATATTATATATATTTGATAAAATTTTATTAATAAAAAAATTCCATTTTGAGCCAAAATTAGGCATTACTTTTGTTGGCTACTATATGTATACATGTTTTTTATGCGTGTTATTAATTATGCCTAATAAGCAAATTATGTAATCACCAAGTTTATGTAACTATTTATTATATGACCAATACTGCATAACAGTACTTTAAATCAGTGTTCAAACCAAAAATAACTTGCACAATTTTTTTCATTAAAAAAAGCTCTTGTATATGTGCATCTTGTGCACAAGCCAATTTTAAACACTGCTCTAAATAATCACAGAATGCAAAATTTTAACTATATATTTATATATTAAAATGATTATGCCATTGCATATTCTGTAACATATTTGTATAAAGTTTTTGGGCAAATCTACATCAGATTTTAAATTTATTGTTGTGGCTAATACTGAAATTGGCTATGCTGAAATTTTGGGGCTCGATTTAAAATACAAACTCTGCTAAAATCCACCTATACTCTTTAAATATTAAATCTAACCTAAACTCTAACCCTAAACTCTAACCCAACCCTAAAAAAAAAAACAGAAAAAAACACCCCAAAAAATTTTACAATTTTAGTATCAGCATTAGCCGTGACATTTATTATTTGCAGTACACGATTCCTAAGTATGAGTAATCAATAAACAATGATATAATGGTTTCTCTTTGCGATACCTATTTCCCACTATATAACCTGTCCTTTAACGATAAGCCTAACATACTTGTATATATCATAATCAGACATTCGTTTAATTGGCTGATGTAAATCAATTGCCTGAGTAACTTATTTATCTGCTATGGTAAAATTGGCCCAGGAACAATTTTCATTTAATAGTCGGCTGTAATTTCATTAGTAAAATTGAATAATTCTGGCTAATTTTTTGATTATCGCTCTTAACCAATTAAAATCAAGGCAGCTAGATAGCATGGCAAAAAAATTCGGCATGCCATAAGGCATGCTACCTGACAAACTTCACGCCAAGATGCCATCTTGGCATGCTATCATAACAATTTATCCCAAACCCCAGATGATTTACAAATCCTGAAATTTTCTAGTAATCTTGCCTACATTTTATATTAGTCAACTATCGCTATCCACTACCGAAATTTTCCGAGAATAGACGTATGCATATATTGAATATATAGGAGAGTGAACAGAAACTAAGCAAATTGTTTTTAGTAAGTTTTTTTTAAAACTTTAAATTAAAATATCTCACAACTATTAAATTAAACTTGATAAAAAATTTTTTATTTTAATTCTATAACTATATAAAATTAAAATAAAAAAATTTATCAAGCTTGGTTTAATAGTTGAGATATTTTAACTTGAAGTTAAAAAAAATTACAATTTGCTTGGTTTTTATTGACACCCCATATATAAGTAGCATATACAGAATTTATTTTCTTTTAAGGCATGCCATGCTATAGTGACCACACACACTAGCTAGGGTTAATTTAGTATAGAACTGCGCCGCAAATCGGTTTGATGTTTTTGGTATCTTTCGAACTGTATCGTCGAGAGGAATCGAATGATATCAAAAGCATTAAAATTGGGCTACTGGTTGATGAAATCATTAAAATATTTACAATTTTTTTATTTATACAAAATTTTCTCGTGATCTAGTGATTGAAATTTAACGATTTGCAGATCTGCAGATTAAAATTTAAAAAAATAGATTATAGGCAAATTAATTTGCCTACAGTTCTGCAGTTAAAGGATAAAACATTATACATTATTGTAGCTGTATCACACAATATCTTATTTGACTCTTAAACTCACGATACGTATACGTATCATCAGTGCGTTAAATTAGGCATTACGCCAAATTATTATTAAGCAAAATTTAATGAGAAATACTTCATGATCTTGTGATTTGAATTGGATAATTTTGATATCATTCGATTCGTCCTAATGAGACGAATCGAATGGTACCAAAATCATCCAATTCATGTGATATTGATCATAATACTTACCTGCACCGAATTAGGCACATTTACCTTAAATTTAATTGACATTTTATTAATAAATTAAAAGCCGAGTAGCGGTCATTTTTTTTAAAGGTTTTATGTTATGAGAACCAAAAAATTAACTTTATACGGCCTTACCGTTACCAATAATGGTATTAATGTATAGTTGTTTAAAGACTAAAAGTCCGATCTAATTTCATTACGAGATGAAAAAAAAATAACTATACAATAGTCCGTAAATTGCCGGATACAAGATCCCCCATGATAGTAGACCCACCATGTAGTATACCCGGATGCGTATCATGAGATCAATATTAATCAAACATGTTTTTTTCAAATATCTGGATTGTCTATTATAAATGAAAAACATACGTACTCTTCAAAGTTTCCTCTAAGTGACCTGAACTCTCGGCTGCATACTAGACCCGGGTCTATTATAGGATTTAAAATTGGTGGAATGTAAGAGACCCGGGTCTTGTATCCGGCGATTTACGGTACATATTATAAATCATTTGTTACAGTATATATAAATATATTATACATATTATATACGTATTTAGAATATTAACCAAACCAAAAACAAAAAAATAACTTTAATATTGATTTAAACATTTAGGTAATTTTGACATTCAGAGTTGCCAAATTCAAAAAAAAACGAAATATTTTGTTATACTGTAGCATAGAACAATTTCGACTAACAGCACTATCACGACAACTAATTTATTCGACACGTGCACACATAGATCTCCAGAACTTATCAGTAACACGATTTGTCACACAGATCATGTGGGTAAATTTTTATTATTAAAAAAGTTAATAAAGAAATTCTAATGAAATCGCAAGCAATTAATGTGATCTATATATCACAGAACAGTTCCTCTTGATTTTACTTCCCACGTTCATAATGTACTAGTACCTGAAGGTAAAGGTTTGCAGAAAGCCCTCACTTAGGCGCAACTAATAAACTACTTTTCAAGCCGATATCTTGCAAACTGACAACTAATCTAGCTTACGAAAGCAAAATGGTCGCCCATCTTTGAAGACATTAAACTTCGTAAGTAGTTGTTAATTTCTTATGCTATTTATACCGTTTGATTCGCAAAAACCCAGCAACGTTTTGTTTTTAATGAGTATTGTTTATTAAATTTAAAACTTATGCTAATTTTTTAAAAATGCTATTACGTCAATTTATATGATCTACAAAAATCATATGATAAAATTTTACGTGTGACAAATCGTGTTACTGTTATATATACGTATAATTAGTTTTACACGTATCGTTATCTACAATTAGAAGAATAAGATTACTATATTAATTAAACAAATCCCAATTGGATAAGACGAATGCATAAAAGTATGATAATTACCCAATCAATTTTTAAGATGTTTGAAACTGATTCAATTTGCAATATTGATTCTCTAATTTATGTTGTAACTATATATTTTGATATTACAGTATTAATGAAGAACTTTGTATTACTTTTACGTAGAAATTAAAAATCTCAATAATATAGGGCGCAGTCATATAGAATTCAGATTTGGTTTTCATTTTATCTATTCTAAATATTAGTTTTTTTTATGAATTAATTTATATAATCTCTATAACGATTTTCAAGTTTATTAGAACTTGCATTTTATAATACTGCTTATAATAGTCTCGTTTATTCGTACGTATCAGTTTAACTCTGCAATTAGTTCTTTTATATCGTGACAATTTAGTCCGCAAATGTCAAATTCGACAGTAAATTATCTGATAACGGCTTCTTTTCTTTTGAGATGCGTCCTTGTTTTGATAAATTTGGAATAGTTAGGATCAGACCATGTTTATGTTTTTTTAGAAAATAAACGTAATCTATACAGTCAGAATTCACATGCTATGTTTTCGCAGGCAAATTTAATTAATAGATAATTTAGGTCAATATTACCAGTTTTATTTTTGTTTACGAAATGTTAATCCGAGTCTTTATAACAATGTTAAACATATCTGATATATACCATTCATTAAAAGAAATGCGCATTTGTTTATAGAGTTAACGTAAATTCTATGCGCGTCCGATCTTTATTTCACAAGTCTTTCCGATAACCATAAAATATATTTCCTTTCCTTCTTTCCTCTACCTTTTTTTATTCACTCGTTTATTACTATAGCCATGCTTTCAATAATGAGCCAAGACCTATTTTCCTTAGCATTATGCTTTTTTATGCAATATGTTTCGGGCAATCAGTCTGATCTTGTCCCTGATTTGCCTACGCCAAGAACATGTACAGACAATGACACTATGTTAAGAATGGTTGACGGAAGTTGCAATAATGTCGAAAATTAAAATTAGGGTGTACCATACAATATCTTTGATCGAGGTGATTTTTCAGCCTTTTACAAGGATAATTATACCGGTGAACCTTGGATAAAAATTGATACAAGAATGATCTCGAATATTTTATCCGATAGTGGACAAGAACCTGTATTTTCAGGAAACCCATTGGATGAAGACGTGCTATCGACTACAAGAAAATCTATATTTGAAATTGTAAGTGTGCATGTATTTAATTGTTCGTGTCATATATAATTTAAAAAAATAAATAATAATAGTAACATATATTCCAAATATTATTAATTTTTCAGTCAACTTATTAACCATGACATAGAAGATGTTGCATTGGCCACTGTCTCACTGGGAATTTCTATTGCGAATATAAGAATATAACAGATGATCCCATACTTAATAGCATCCAAATAATTCATTTAATCCTGCTCAAAATCCTCATGAGTAATCTCTTTACTTTATATAATTTCTTTCTTTACATATCAGTCATGTTGCTAGCCCTCTCGCTAGGTCGAGTAATTAATGGCACATTATACCCTGTAAGCGCTGGTAATTCATACCTTGACCTATCAAATATTCATGGTGTAGGAGATGATGTTCAAAACAATCTTCGTACACAGGTAGATGGAAAATTATATTTAGAAACTTATTTTGGAAGCGGTGGTGCTTATAATAAAAATCTTACAAATGTAACTGCTGAACGAATGGCTCCAAGTCCTGGAAAAGCTGATGTTTATCCTAATCTTACACCACCTTCTATCAGAGCCAATGATGCCATGGTTAGTGGTGATACTCGGTGTTCTGAAAATATCCAATTATGTATCGTGACTACACTCGAACATAATTGGTGGGCTGACAAAATTTTAGAAGATGATCCATCCTTAAATGATAATGAAGAAGAAATTTTTCCAACGTGCTAAAAGGATGACAATCGCTGAATATCAACAAATTATATTTAATGAATATTTGCCTGCTGTGCTTGGCGTTAAAATGGGTTATGATCCAAATTTACGTCCAGAAACTTCTAGTCATTTTTCTGGTGCTGCTTTTCGTTATGGTCATTCAAATGTCCGGCCTTATAACATTAATTGATGGTTGTACAGGAGAACTTATTGAACTTCATTCTGACTTTCATTCCCCAATTATCATCCAAATTGCTTCTTCTTTGTTGGCAAATCGGTTCCAATTCCACCACCAGCTGGAAGTAATTTTACATCCCAACAGTTAGATTATACCCCTCTAAGACTATTGACTCTCGCTTCCGGATCTTAAGGTAATGGAATATTATTGCTAGCATGTTGAGAGAAACTGCTGCTGAATTTTATTTAATTATCACAACTGGATTGAGAAATATACCTGGTGGTATGAACTTGTTTGCTATTGACATTGGTAGAGGTATGAATCACATTAAAAGTATTTTTCATCGGATATTTACTTTTAACAATGTTACTTTTTATTAAAAAAGTCGTTTGCTTGATCTCGCTCCTTATGATCTATATCGTGATGCGTATCATCCGAAGGGTGGCCTATACAGAAATAAAGAATGTGATGAAGATTCTGAAGAAGACTCAATTGATTATAACATCTAATATGACTATAGTAACCGGTTTACAACAAATTTATAAGAAGGTTAGCAACATTGATGCAATAGTTGGAATGTTTGCAGAAGAAAAAGAAAGTCCAACAACTCCATTACCACCAATAATAGCTAATATAATAATGCAAGAATTTATACGTAAAAGAAGTTCTGATCGATTTTGGTATGAAGGTGATGCTTATACTGACGAGGAGAGATCAATAATAAAGAAAACTGCCATGAGAGATATTATCTTGAGAAATACAAATGTTAGAAATATACAGATTAATCCATTTAAATCTCCTTCCATTAGGTATGTTATTCTTGTTGTGAAATTATTAAATTTGTTATTTTTTCTTTAGCAACTGTTTTATGTTCAAAGAAGGATTAACTCGAAATTAGACTATAGATTATCCTTTGAGTGACAGCATATAAATATATTATTTATATTTATGTATTATAATGTTTCCTTTTTATAATATGGCCCTCTAAATGTCCGAAATAATGAAAGTGTATATAATAGAAATATGTATCGTTAGTTAATAAGAAGTTTAATCATCATCATTTATCAACGTTATAAAAATTTCAATATTCATATCAGGGCACAAAAATTTCGGCATGCCGTAACCTGCTTTTTTTTCGGTAAACGAAAATTTAGAAAATAATACAGTATATTTATATTATAAAATTACCGGCCGCTTTAAAACTACGACGGAAATCATCATAATTAAACGGAACCTCTGGCATTTTACAATTGAATTTTGTGCTCTGATTCATACGTATAATAATAATAATAAATCATTTATATTATTAAAAATTTGGTTCAATAATTGTGAATATTTGAAGTCGAAGACAAAAATATCCGAAATTTTTTTTAAATTCGAATAGGCCTATACATGCCGTAGAAATTATTTTGCCATTATTTCTTCATAGGAAGACTTTCGTATGATTGGCTGTTTAAATCAATTTAATTTTACATTATTTATACAGTTTAAAGTACTTTT